AAAGTAATGTGTTTACAGCATTGAAGGGCTGAGAAAACTTAGTATGTTCTAAAGAAATCCAAAGGCAAGGTGAGTTTATTCTTCCATAGCCTGGAGGATAGTAATTTAGAACAAAACTTGCTGCTATTGCTTTGTGATATGAAATGAAATATTTTTGCTTGTAGAAGTATTATTTTTGCTTTATGATTAAACAGAAAAATTACTTGCTTGAGCAGCAGAACAAAGCTAGGTGCTTTCTGCATTGGAGTGCACTGTTAACCCAGGCATCCTTATGGCAACAGTCAGGGTAAGAGTGTAGCAAATAGCTTATACTACAGTTGAATAAATTGTAGTCCATTTTCCTAAATGTATCTCTAGTGATTGTTGTAGAGATTTTTTTAAATGGATCTTGAGACTACTTTGAGAATGTAGAATATAAAGTGAGGGAACTTAATGCAAATTTGCGATCTTGAATGCTTAATGTTGTTTGCTCAGTTTTGAGGAATGAAAAATTGCTCATTAAAGTGAAGCGTGTTATGTTTCTGGCATGGAGCCCATAGGAGATACAGATGAACTCAAAAACGTGCATGTCTGACTTTGCTAACAAACAGTCTATGATAAGAAAGTCTTTCATGTATTATTAAATAAGAGAAAGTTTGTAATTATTTTTGCAAATATGATCTTGTGCGCCTTTGTGGTGAAGATGCAGTTTGATCAAGACTTTTATCTTTTTATAAAGGTACTGTCAAGATGAGATCTGTAGTATAAGAATTAGCTCACTTGAAAATCGGCTTGTAGGCTTTTAGGTGCCTTGAGTTTTAAATGGACTTCTGCTTTATTGTTGTTTGCCTTCTCAATTGTCACTAAGTGCTCCAAGCATAGGCTGCTTCAGCTGATGACTGCGTGGTCCACATGAGCTAATAGCTGTGGAAAGTCGTGGTTGCATCCTTGCCATAGAAGGAAGATTTAAGGGTGGGGGAGTACACTTGTGTTAACAGAGGCAACCCTGAAGAACTTTTACTAAAACAGTCAAGACAGACAAATGACTGGAGAGGAAAGCAAAAGTATGGAGAGAAGTGACGTGGCTTGTGAGCAAAGGTCAGTGACAGAGTCGGACGTTGAAATGAAATTTAACTACCAGTCTGGTGCTCCTTTGTTATGCTCTACGACTTGTGAGTGCTGGTAGTAGCATAGACTGTTAAAGAGAAAATTGCAAACTACTCGGTACAAACYCAAGCAATCTGGGTAAATTAATGCTTTTATTCACTTTGCACTACTTTGGTGTTTATGTGGAACAGAAAATAGCACACTGTGATTGCTTCTTACATTGCTGTTCCATTATTGTTCTTCATCCTACCACCATTAACAATTTTGTATTTGCAAGATAAGAAAGTTTTACAGAAAATCTCTTTAACTCGGTTTCCTTTGCATTTTGGTGTGAAAATGTATTCCTGTATTGCAGTGTACTTGGGTACTGAACTAGCATTAACTTCAGTTATGTTTTATGGACTTTAATACCTTCTGAGCATTTTGTCTTGACTAACCTGTACAGACTTGAAGAAGGAAGGGAAAAAAAAAAAAAAGAAAAGAAAAAAAGAAAAAAAGAAAAAAGAAGAAAAAAAAAAAAAAACCCAACCCCACACACAGGATCTAGGAGATAGGGGAAGTGACACAATTTTTTTCTGCAGTGGAAGAAAAGAGTAACTTGTAGCTCTGTCTCTTGGGCTACATTCTGAAATGAGAATTTCCATTAAAGCCAAGTTCCTTATTCAAAGGCATTCTTGCATTTGCACCTTTGCAAAGTTTACAGTGCAAAAAGGTTCTCAGGTGGGAGTGCTCAAGGCTGAGTGGAAAGCAGAAAAGTGAAGAGACAATCCTCAGTCAGTGTTTGAGAACGTGTTTCACTTGTCCAGCTTTGAGTGCTAGCTCTCTTGGAATAAATGTGGAGTACAGGGAATATCAGGACTGACTTGGCTTATTGAGTAATGTAAAGTATATTTGTTTTGCCTTCTGGTTGGGAAGAGAGAATTCTAGAGCACTGAGGTTCCCTTCAGCTTAGATCTGTGCCTTGATGTTGCAAGTGAAACAAAGTGGGTGTTTACTGTGCAATAGTACTTGTTATAACTATCATATCTATATATTTATAATGATCGTATACTGATTGACTTATTTTTATCACCTCTCTTCCCTGTTTTTTTTTTTTTTTGTGCTGTTTTTATAATGAAACTGCCACTTGGATAATTTCTTCTGTATCTAAGATCTGAGCTGCTGTGGTAATTTAAGAAATGAGTACTGCTCAGCATCAGCAATGGGCAAGTCAAGCTCACTGCAGTGCTAAACTTAATTTTACAATGCACATGCATAACAGAGCCATATCTATACAGCTTATTTACTGTTTGAACCAGTGTGAGACCTAGAATAGGTAAATCTTAAACAGCTTCTCATATTTCTGTCACTGATATTAGGTATCATATAGAGCATATATAGCAGTTTGGTTGGCTTATAAGGCAAAATTTATCAAAACATTGTTAACTACAGAAAAGGCACCAGCCAGCCGAAGTGTGTGTATGTTTGTGTTTAGGTGCATACAGAGCATGCATGAAATCATGACATTCTGCACTGTCTTAAGATGATGTCTTCGGTTGAACCACTATAGGAGTATTATGCAATAAAGAATGCAGGAAGGAGAGAAAAAAAAAAAAAAAGAGGGAGGAACCTTCAGCATAAGGTTGAGGTTGAAGGGACAGAAGTAGAGGAGAAAGGACAGAAGTGTGATGATTAGTATAGTGGTTAGTATCGCTTTTTATTGATGCTTTCAGCATCATTAGGAATAATGAATTTTAGCTAAACAGTAATCGCTGTATCAGTGACTATTTTTACATGCTTTTTTATGTTTTTAAACGTGTAGTTTGATCTACAGATTTTAAAATAGAATTAATTTCATTCAACATTAGAGTGACTTTTGTTTTTACGCCATGCAGTTGATTATGGCACAATTTAAGTGCTGTAGTTTAGAAATAGATCCGAGTACAGTGATCTACTTTCTTGGGACAGGATACAGTTATAACGGTATCATAAAACTTAATGCAATCCATTTCCTGAAATGAGGAGTACACGTTCAACTTCACGTCTGGATGTTGCAAGACTGTGTTCGTTGGCTTTTGAAATATATTAGCCCCAAGAAACTAGGATCTTCCACCTAACAGCAAGACTTCTGTAATAAAGATGCACAACTGACTTGACATACTTGCAGGAAAAAAATAGTTTCTGATCAATCGATGGCTTGAATTAAAGGCCTGTRCAAGAAAGTAGGCTGTTCTTTTTCAACTTGGCACAAAATCTTAAGTTGCATTCAGCGTGCATCAGATGCCTTACTCCTCTTGTCCTCTTCCTGTGGAAACAAAGCTGAATTTTGAGCAAAACAAAAACCTCGTCTCCAGGTCTCCTCAGGTCTGCGCAAACACAAGTTCAAACAGTTGTGCAAACAGCGAGTTGCTAAGTCCTTTCGCTATGTGCTGCAATGCTTTTAAGCAACTGAACTTCTCTTGAGCCTTCCTGCCCCCTGTGCTCCTCCCTGTTTGTTATCCTCTACTTTAAGTGTATCCAAGTGCAGCAGTTTCTGTCCCCCAGCTGCCGTTCCACCTTCTTTCTCTCCCAACTGTTGATACCCTTCATCTTCCTTGCCGCTAGCTCTCGGATTCTACTTGCACCATCTGTCAATGTGTAATGGTCTTTTTTCCCCCCATTACCTCCTTGAATTCTCTGAAGAACTCCATGTACTCCCAACAACTTCAGGATTCGGATCCTTCTCCAAGGATAGGATTTATTTATGACCATTTGCACGACGTCCTTTCCTTCAGCTAGAAAATGGGAGAATAACTTTGTAGGAAAAGGAATGCTGTTAACTCAGCTTAAGTCTGGAAATACTACTCTTTTTWWWWAAAAAAAAAATTATTATATGCATTTTGACATTTGAAACATTGTAAGGAAGAAGCTAGAAAATTATATCTGCTTATGTGCTTTGAATGTTGCCTAATGAAGAAAATGATACGCTATGTCTCATTTACATAATATAATACCAATTTATATAGTATAATTGAAAGGGGAGGACAGTCTTTTAACCATATTTTTTGCCTTTTACAATTAATTGTTGGACTTCAGTTTTTCAAAAGGATTTTCAGATAAATTTGGCCAGAATTTGGACAAAGAACAGTTGTACTGTAGTGTTGTATTTTCAGGAGTAAAGGGGTGACTTGAAATATTTCTTGCAAATAAGTATTTGTGTTTGCAAGTTTTTGCAAATAAATGATTGCATTTTTTTTCAAGTAGACCAGAGGACAAACAGGTGGTAGTTCAAATCTTCATTTTTCAGATAGCTCTGCAGAGGTGGGATGGACCCCTTATCCACTTCGTTGTGGTTTTCTGTAGATAAAGGTGTCTGTTCATATGAGCTTGCGTATTTACCTACAGGATTGTGAAATTAGTGATAGTTAATTTTGTAATACGTGAATTCTGCCAATTTGATAGTTGGATGTAGCAACATTCCTGAACTTTCTGCTGTACTTTCATTTAGTTTTTTTGAACTTCCTTATTGTTCTGTTAGATAATGTATTAATTTTTTATCTGGAGGTCATTGCAACTGCGGTTTCTAGTGTGGGCGTCTTCGAAACATTGAATTTAGAATTAGCTTAAGTCATTCGCCTTTTACAGACAGAAATGTCATGAATCTCAGATGTTTAACGAAACATCATATTTGGGAATATAGAGGAAATGACTCAAAAGATATTTAGTCTAATTTACAGGTAATCCTGTTTAAAAAAAAAAAAAAAAAAAAAAAGGTCTGGCGTGGGAGGCGGTCAGAGGAATCTAGGGGAAGTTACCAGACAAGCTGTAGTGCAGTATTTAGTAAATACATTGTATACAGAGCCTTGCCTAGACTTCTGTATCTCAGACCATCAACAGACATCATTTTAGTGTTAAACTATTGTGATTATAAGGAATATTTCTGATGTCTCTGATAGTTGGTGTGGATGACTACAGCTCAGAGTCTGATGTGATTATTATACCTTCAGCCCTGGACTTTGTCTCACAAGATGAAATGTTGACGCCTTTGGGAAGACTGGACAAGTACGCTGCAAGTGAGAACATATTTAACAGGTATGGCTTTTAAATGTCTTCTCTGGAGAACAGTGTGCACACTATTCATCAGATTCAAATCTGACTCAAGTTAATTTGCATGAAATACAAATAATTTTTAAAATCACAAAATTCTTCAGTTTCTCCTCCTCCTCCTCTGTGTTGATGCACCCTCTACTTACAGAGAACAAATATTGATGTTAAAAAATGTTTGCTTACCTGTTAAGTAACTGCACTTCAGGGCTTCTAAACTTTTTCATGAGATGGACCACATCCTGTTGACCGAGGGCTAGTAGATAATTGTTAATGATCCATATGTCTGTAGGAAGTGACATTGGGAAAATATGTAATGAAAGGTCAGGAGAAAATAAGGAATGGCACTGTGGCTTACCAGAGGAACACATATGTTCTGCAGGTTCATCTTAATCTGTAGACAAGAATTTAAGTATAGCTGCTTCTGGTTTTTGAAAACAAAAGACATGCTAAGAAGAAAACTTTACCTTGTCCTGTGTTGTTGTTTTACTTCAGGTTTTCCACTTTGCATTTCTCAAGCCTCGAGTTAGTTGCACAGGTACAGTAGAACACTAGACTTGCACACAGCTATGCATACGTACTCTGCAGGGGAAAGACATTCAAAATCAACATTTATTTTGATTGTAACTGTAGATAGTTGCTAGATCACAGAGACACCTTATTGTTGAGATTTCTGGAGTTTTATTTAACTAACTTTGGCTAGAGCATGTGTTTAAGAAAGTATGCTTCCTTTTATGTTGTATCTTTACATAGAAGATAGGTCTATAATCACCCACACTGTAGATTATGTATTTTGTTTGCATGACTACAGTTCTGAATTGATTTAACCATTTGTTTAAAATAATCTTGTGGCATGTACTTAAAATACTCACTTGTGTTTCTCTGTGAGGGAAAATGCTTGGAGTAGCTAGTTCTTCCTGTGTAAATTTTTTTTTTCCTCCTTTATAGGCCCATTGTTTAATCCTAGCTCTTTTTGTAGGCCTAGGTCTGTTATTTAACACTAGATAATATAGGAAATAGTATGAGGTATTGATGATAAGACTGTGTGTAGCAGTTAAATCTGAGGGTAACTATTACAGACAGCTCGTATCATACAATTAATTCTGAGAAAGTGTCAGAAACTTTTGCTAGATGGAGTTTATCATAGATGTAAGTTCAAGAGAAACATTTCGTTTTCCAGATTAAAATGATTTTTGCCTCCAATTACATATATGTAGAATTAAGATTTTTTTAATTACAATTTAAATGATAAAACCGTATTTCCCTGATCTGCATACATATGGAAATTTCCATTTGTATATTCTTATACTCTTGAAACAATCATTGAATCTGGGTAAATTAGAGTAAGATTTTAGTATTATGATTATTACTTAAATGGATGACGCATACTACACATGTGACAGTGAATAATTACAAAGATTTTTTTAATCAATTGTCACAAAAACCCAAGCATCTATACTTATCTACAGGTTATCAGTGGCACTTACGCTGTCTGCAGCATCAGTGAGGACTGGGCCTAGACTTTGTGGGAAGGCTCTGTTTGGCTAAGGCACGTGCTGTTGTGACCGTGATACAGGCATACAGCTTCTCACGTGGTTGGAAGAAGGCGGCTGCCTTGTTTTGTGGTCTCACGTGGAAAAGAGCAGGCATCAAAAATGGAGATTTTGATCGCACCACCCGTGACAGTGAATAATTTTGAAGTGGCTATTTGATTCTCGGCTCTAGCAGTCACAAACCCACCCTGGTGTTATATGTCTGTGGAAAGAAGTCTGGATGCCTTTGGAATATAAGCTCTGTGACGGAATAAGGCTTTTTAGGAGCCGAGAGAGAATTTTTTTTTTTTTT